GCCGCCGTTTGTACGCGAATAGTGTAAAAATAGGGTAAATCAAGGTTGTGGACCCTGTATGTTTATAACCTAAAGATCTTGGTTCCTTTCGATATTGTCGCATATCGGATCGTAACTTCCTGAATTATGACCACTGATTGTACGCAAAATCGCCTTTTTTAGCTGGAGGTCACAATTATTATCCGGTTGATTATATCACCGTTACACCGTAATGAAGGTTGACATCGAATTTAGTGAAAATCGGACCAAATTGCCGGACAAAATGGCCGCCGCTTGTACGCGAATACTGTAAAAAATATGGTATGTCAAGGTTGTGGACCCTGTAGAGGTCGCAATTTTAATTAGATTTTGATGAAACTTGAATGTGGGCGTATCCTGCCTGGCTGCCGCTGGTTCACTTTTTCTAATATTCAATTCAAAATGGTGACCATCAGTTGACCAATATCAAAATTCTCATCTGTTAGATTTTTAGGCATTCCTTCAAGGATGCAGAAAATGTAACTCCATATCTGTAAGTAAAATACTGCAAAAGCCTTATGGATTTTTCACATTTCAAGATGGTTGCACTTTCGGTTCAATCGGCAGACTTCATATTTTGTCTACATATCATTCCTTTCTTAGCTAGTACAGAAAGAAAATTTCAAGGCACTCTGACCTATATTTCGTCGATTTTTTTGAAAACTTTGATCCCTAATTTCATCAAGGGGAGATAAATTTCATGAAAATCGCGCAACTATTAAAGAAGTTGTAAAGTTGATCTCAACTTTCGGTTCGAAATCACAGCGACGAATTTTCGAAATACGAAAATTCGAAATTGCAGATTTGAAGTAAATGTTTCAAGGTACTTAAAGAAAGAAGAATTAGTAAAATAGGTCAAATAGTCAGAAAGTTACAGCAATGTAGGTCAAATGCATTTGTTCGTAAAATTCGGTGATTTCGGATTCGAAAATCCTTTCGAAAATATATTTAATCAACAGTCACCACCCATTTTGGGGGGGGGGGGGGTAGGTAAAAGTTTTAGAAAGATCCTATGGTTAGATTCTGAGGAATCCGATTTGTGGACAATACACACAAAAACAAAATAATAACAATAATAACTTGAACAAAAAACAATAAGCTTTCATATGAAATATGAAAGCTTAATAATATTAGTAATCTCAATAGGCTTTCAGACAAAAGTTTGAAAGCTTAATAATAATAAATTTAGTAATCTCAATAGGCTTTCAGACGAAAGCCTAATAATAAGAATAATAATCTTAACAAAAACAATAGTGTTTCACACAAGCTACGCAGTGTGAAACCCTAATTCAACTGGTGTGTATTGCTAATAACAGTGCGCGCTTCGGATTGCTACATTTTTCGTTTGATTATAGACTACGGAATTTTTTTGTTCGGTGAATGGAAAATGATTAAAATATTGTGTCATAGCAAATGGGATGACAGATGGGAACACGTGGTCAATTCTTACTAAGGGAAATGGTTACAGATAAAAATTATTGTTTTGTGAATAATTATCGAGCTTGTATATTTACGGAATTATCAAATTTAACGTTTGTACTATTTACATAATTAGATCGTGAACTGAATGACTGTTAAAAGGTTAGCTTACTATTAGTTTCTTGGCTAATCTTTGACGACTTTTAATCTCGTCGACCAACATCCAAAGGACTAGAATGTCCGTACGCCGTGTAACGGTAAATTTGTTTAGCAAACTGTGATGCGATACCGCTATTCATATTCCCTGGTTTCGTCGTGTCCGGGAATTTTATGATTTAGTACAAAATATGTTACTTTTCCAGCGTGTAAAATGACCTACGGGTCTGATCCAGTTTCAGTCATTTTCAAAAGCCCTCGGTCCCGACTGGCATATACGGCCGACATGGATACATAGTAACCTGCCGCAGACTTTCCTAAAGATAGGTAACTATGATTCAAACAGCAAGAAATCCTCTTTCCCATTCCAGAAATACTTATTCCAGCAATTTTGAACTATCGGTGACTGGGTTATGGTGTTTTGAATAATAACGGCCACACACATTTTGGCCAAAATCTCCCAAATTGGGTGGACCGTATCTCAGGAACCATTAGCTGGATCAAGTTATAGTTTGGAATATCAGCTTTTTCCGCCCTAAAAAACATATAAAGCATATTTCAGCAAAATCGAAGTGGGTACGGTTTAACTCATTGTGTGATAATTGACATGGAATGACCCAAACCACACATTATGAAAAATTCGAAAAAATATCAAGATGGCATGGGACAAGAATGGCTTTAACATGTTGGAGACATTAGTACAAACTATAATTACACCCAAGTTTCAGAATTTTAGGTACTCATCTACGGGGTTCTTTCAGCTTGAAAATATTAGGCAATTTTGAATTTTTTTGTCTAAAACCATATTTAACGCCAATTTTATGGTAATCTAGTGAAGACTGATACTATCTTATGTAGTACTAACGGCAATCTCTGGATAGGCCAAAATATGGGTCTATATCTATTACCTTGTAGCTCCTGGAGCACTACAAAATCCAGAAAATATACAATTACACCAAATTGTTTTCGGTTTTCATGACCATGTAGCATGTCAACCCTACCATTGACCTGTCATCTGTTTGCAGATTCGTAATCTACACACAAAGTTCTCTAATGCTACCATATTTTTGCTGTATATCTTTACTAGATATCTGAAACTCAGTAAATTATTGATCCATATCTTGTTTTGAAAACTTATTGGTAACTCATGAAACTCAAATGCACAGTTTTTAGTTTTTGCATGTACAATAACATATATTTTTTCCAGATTTTTTCGAGGGGGTCGATTTCCCAAATTTCTGAAAATTGACACAATTAGTGTTTACAACATATAGAATTACTTTATTGACTAATTTAAACAACATCTGAAAAATTCATTATGGTTTTTAAGCTTTTAACGTTATTTTATCTGGATTATCGCCCTTATTATTGTGATTTTTTTTATCACCTTCTAAGATATGACGTCATTCTCAGTCAGCAGACGGCTGTCCCTCGAGACAGTCTACATTTCCTATTTGCTTCTTTGTATTCAGTTTTGTTTTTGTTTTTTGTGACGATGGAACATGTACCCTATACTTAAGCGTTTCTTGATTGAATTTAAGAGTTTAGACTACTTTTTATACATTTCACCGATGTGGTTACTTGTATAGTTGAATTTTACTACATCTGCTTACATTCGTATTTCGTGTAGCATATAACAGATCATGACTCATGCTGGCATTACACAACGGGTTCTTTGGGTTGTATTGCTAATTGTTTTCAAATTTGAGTGAAGTCTGTGTCACTACAGACCCGGGACTGTACAGCGCAGTGGACGCTTACGGCTAGCCCCCGGATCCATTCACTTTTTTTGACATGTCTGTATGTTTATGTTTTCCTTAGTATGATGTCCTGTCCGTGTATTTGTTTTTGTGTAAATTTTGTGTGGTGCAGTCCTCCTGCACTTACTATTAGTTAGATTATTTTGAGTAAGTCATAAATGCATTACCTAGTTGTCATTTATCCAAATATATCATATGAATGTATATATAGTAGATGATATAAAATGGGCTAGGCAATCAGTTATCCCTGTTTTACAGTTACTAGTTTCGTTTGTATTTGAACTCTTCAGACTGATTGTACTCATGTAGCGAGGTTCTATATACTATTCTGAAACCCTGTCAGGATTTTACAGTGGTTGTGATTTTGGCTGGGTTGCCTGTTACCGGGGTTCAAATCTTGGCGGGGTTACCAGGCTCGCTTAGACTACTGGGGTCTTGAAAGGTGATTTAACCAGGGTTGCTTGTTAGGCTTAGGTTAATGTTTATTTTCATACACAGTAAAACCTGCTCAAGATACTAGCTGTTCTAAGCAACTACTTGTGGTAAGTGGCAGCATAGAGCGTTTTTTTGTCCCCCGCCTGTCAAAGAAAGCAGGGGACTATTAAAATGGGTCTGTCTGTCATACTTTTTGGGACACAATAACTAACTCTCCTTCAAATTGAGCTAGAATGTTCACACTTGGTGTATGTGTTTATTAGGCGAATGCCTTGGTGGAGTTAAAAGAGATAAGCAATTTGATTGGTTGTTGCTTTTGGACACGATAACTTTAGTTCTAATTAAGTGAGAGTGATGAAACTTGGTGTATAGTTTCATTACATCAATACTTTGACTAAGTTCGATAATGAGCATTTTCTGCTCAGGGTACACAGAGCGATAAGCAATTTGATTGGTTGATGGTTGAGACTTTGGAACACAATAACTCTCCTTCTAAATGAGATAGAATGTTCAAACTTGGTGTAGGCATTCATTAGATGAATATCTTGACTGAGTTCAATGATTGAAGGAGCCAAATCGCTAATATTTGGGACCTAGAAATTGTCACAAATGGGTCGCAATGCATATAATAATGTAATATGAATGTATGTAAACTGACTTACATTCAATCGTTTCTGTTTTTACTGTAATTTCTAATCGGTTATGTTTGGCGAAGTACACCAGAAGTCTCAATCCAATGGCAATCTCTAGCATCTGGTTATTCCAGTCTACACCGATAGTATTTATTGCACATGCTCTCCAGATAAGAATGACGTCGCCGTTTGATATGACTTGTAGAATATGTCCAGCCTCGTTGTTGAGTTCCTTGTTACAAATGGCGGTAAGATCATAACATCAACGTTAATTTAAATTGACAAATAATTCATGTTTTCAATGTCAAAGACTTTGGATGATATTGAGTTAGAGACTTAGCTACTTCAACATTTCCCGCTAAGCAGAGCTAAATAATTTCTCTAGTCGATGCTTTGGGACAAGAAAACTTTGATTCTAACTGATGGAGGAGTGATGAAACTTAGTGTATAGTTGATAATCAGTTTAATTGCTCAATACTTTTGAAAAAGATAAATGTGCAATTAATTAATATGTGTCATCTATTTATTTTTGGGATTTCGGCAGGGAACATCAACCTCACTGTTGGCTTGTTTTTTTCAGCCACCATCTTACTGGCCAATACAAGGCTCTTTCTCATTTCACCAAGTTTATATGAAGTATAGAGATGGACTGCCTAATGCCTTAGATGGTGTAACATTTGATACTGAACCCTGTGAGAAAATCGGTATAGTTGGTCGTACAGGTTCTGGTAAATCCAGCCTATTTCTGGTTCTATTTCGAATGGTTGAAATACAACACGGAGAGGTTATGATAGACGGGATCAACCTACAACATTTAGATTTAATTGATGTGAGGTATGATTAATTATTGTTCAATCTATTTATTTAGACTTATTTGAAATTGTAGAAGGGATCCTTTGGCTTTGTGATTCTAAAGGCAATGACAAAACAAAGATTACATATAGATAGAAGTGTAAAATACCCAAATACCCATGGTGTGAGAATTTCCTTTCTTTCTTTTTAGATCACGAATAGCAATAATTCCTCAAGACCCATTCCTGTTTAGTGGTACAGTACGAGATAACTTAGATCCAACCAATTCTTTTACTGATAATAGTCTATGGACAGCTATAATACGCTGTCATTTAGATACTGTAGTAACTGGATTAGGTGGATTAAATGCTGATGTTGCTGAACGTGGAAAATATTTCTCTGTTGGTCAAAGACAATTGTTATGCTTAGCAAGGGCTACATTGACAAAAGCTAAGGTCAGTATATTTAATTGAGGTATCTATGCATGTTCTAAAAGGTTCTATTAAGACGACTCAACCTATAGGAACTGTGAATGTGTTTTGAGAAGATACCATAATATCAAGTTCTTTAATAAAATTATAAATTATTTCAGACACAATTCTTATTTAAAATGATCCACATGACAAATTAGTGTGACCAGTCATTAAGACATCTGTCAAATTAGTTTCATATTTTTTAACCAGAAATATAAAGCTGGTTCTTTAAGTTCTAGTTACATATATTACAGGTATTATGTATTGATGAAGCAACAGCAAGTGTAGATCATGAAACCGATACATTAATACAAGCTACTATTAGAGAGGAGTTTAAAGATAGTACAGTATTAACTATAGCACATAGAATCAACACAGTTATGGATAGTGATCGAGTTCTTGTTATGGACCAAGGAAAAGTTGCAGAATTTAATTCCCCCAGTGTGTTGTTGGAGGATAGACAATCTCTTTTTTATCAAATGGTACATGGTAGAAACTAACAACATAGATTATCATTTACTGAAATACTGTTATTGTGGTATATATTCTTGGTTATGATCAGAAGAAATCTTCTGTGTATCTAAATTACCGAACAAAAGAAAGTTTACATTCTGTATACATGTTCCATAAAAAAGACAAAGACGGTTTTGATTTATACAATGAATATTTTATTGAGGAATAAGTTTCTGATCAAAAATCAAAACATTAACAATAGTATACTGGTGTAGAAATATCATCGTTGCGACATTGTTTCTAAATTTATAGACAAGGAATAGAGAAATAAGATGGTTTAAACACTATTTTTATCTTTACAAATTATTCTCTATTGTCAGTATATCAGCTATGGTATGAGATTATTTAAAACGCAAATTAATTGTTTATGAAATAGTGTGAGAATAACAGGAAAGAGGGTCTAAGTTCAAGGATAGATTGTGTCGAAAAACATGTGATAGGAAAATTACGATTGCATCATTTTGTTTAATTATCCCCCGCCTTTCGGTCCGTCCGTCTGCCTGTCCGTCTGTCCGTCACACTTTTTGGGACACAATAACTCTCTTTCTAATTGAGCTAGAATGTTCAAACTTGGTGTAGGTGTTTATTAGGTCAATACCTTAATGGAGTTTGAAGATGAGCATTTTCCGCTTAGGGTAAGTGGAGATAAGCAATTTGATTGGTTGATGCTTTGGGACATGATAACTTTTGTTCTAATTCGGTGAGAGTGATGAAACTTGGTGTATAGTTTCATTACATCAATACCTTGACTAAGTTCGGTAATGAGCATTTTCTGCTCAGGATTACCAGAGCGATAAGCAATTTGATTGGCCAAGATTTTGGAACCCAATAACTCTCCTTCTAATTGAGCTAGAATGTTCAAACTTGGCATAGGTGTTAATTGGGTCAATGCCTTGATGGAGTTTGAAGATGAGCATTTTCTGCTTAGGGTAAAAAGAGATAAACAATTTGATTGGTTGATGCTTTGGGACACGATAACTGTAGTTTTAATTAAGTGAGCATAATGAAACTTGTTGTATAGTTTCATTACATCAATACCTTGACTAAGTTCGATAATGAGCATTTTCTGCTCAGGGTAAGCAGAGCGATAAGCAATTTGATTGGCCGAGACTTTGGAACACAATAACTCTCCTTCTAATTGAGCTAAAATGTTCAAACTTGGTGTAGGTGTTTATTAGGCAAATGCCTTGTTGGAGTGTGAAGATGTGCATTTTCTACTTAGGGTAAGTAGAGATAAGCAATTTGATTGGTTGATGCTTTGGGACACGATAACTTTAGTTCCAATTAAATGAGAGTGATGAAACGTGGTGTATAGTTTCATTACATCAATACCTTGACTAAGTTCGATAATGAGCATTTTCTTCTCAGGGTAACCAGGGCGATAAGCAATTTGATTTGCCAAGATTTTGGAACATAATAACTCTCCTTCTAATTGAGCTAGAATGTTCAAACTTTGCGTAGGTGTTTATTGGGTCAATGCCTTGATGGAGTTTGAAGATGAGCATTTTCTGCTTAGGGTAACCAGAGATAAGCAATTTGATTGGTTGATGCTTTGGGACACAATAACTTTAAGTGAGAGTGAGGACACTTGGTGTATAGCTTTATTACATCAATGCCTTGACTAAGTTCGATAATGAACATTTTCTGCTGAGGGTAAGCAGAGGGATAATCAATTTGATTGGTCGAGACTTTGGAACACAATAACTCTCCTTCTAATTGCGGTAGAATGTTCCCTAGATGGAATTCGATGATGAACATTGTCTGCTTACTGTAGGCAGAGATAAGCAATCTGATTGGTTGATGCTTTAGGGGCACGATAACTTTGGTTATAATGAAGTGAGAGCGATGGAACTCCGAATATAGGTTCATTATATCATTACCTTGACTTAGTTCGAGTGTGCGAATTTTCTGCCAGGGCTAAGGAGCGATAAGCAATTTGATTGGTCAAGACTTTGGAACATAAAAACTCTGCTTTTAATTGAGGTAGAATGCTTAAACCTGATGTAGATGTTCATTAGGTGAATGTCTTGACTGATTTCAATGATTAACATTTGAAGCTAAAGTTAAGCAGAGCTAATCAATTTCATTGGTCGATGCTTTTGGACAAGATAATCTTGATTCTATCTGATTGATAGTGATCAAACTTAGTACTTGCTCGGTACTTTTGAAAAAAATAAATATGCGATTTATTAAATTCTGGAAGGGAAAAGATGTAGCAATTTCTATCAGCAGACTCGCCCATCGAGTCTGGCTGGCTGAATGAAGTTTGAGAGAATTACTTTATTCTATTATGCATTGTACCATATGTAAGCAGCTATGATATATAAATTGTAAAAACTGTTGCATTATTATTCCTGGAAAGACAAACGTCTTAAGAAAACAGTAAGAAGTAAATCCACAATATGAAGCAGAAGCAAAGACAGATAGAGACAAATTCTAGACGATCACAAGGCTACTAAGATATGTAGTAAGAAAAGATGCATGGGTCATACGTAGGGTGTGGCGACCGGTTTCCATCGCCCGTTCTCCGCGTCAGACGAAAGACCCATGGTACTACATATTCTATTTGGTGCCGTACCTCAGTTTCGACCTTTTGGGTAAGCAGCAACTTTGGAAGTAGAAACCCGTACAAACCAGTAACAGGAAACATTCTGGTGGAAAAAAAAGAAATGTTGTGGAGAAAAATATTGGTGGAAGAAAAAATAAGAAATCTGGCGGAAGAACATTTTTTTTGGGTGGAAATACATTTTTTTTTGGTTTGTACATTATTGCATAATAAAGGATTTTAGTCGGAAAATTAAATAGTTTTGATTTATTTGCCACATGACCTACAGATTTTTTTTTTATATGATAATCAACATCAACAGAAGTGTGGTAAATATACATAAATAATTCAACATGATAATTAATCAGTTGAATAAATCGTAGTAAACAAGGTGTAGTCTATCCTCATTTATATTGATACCTATCCTCATTTATATTGATCCCCTATCAATCTGTCTTTTTCATTCATTCTTCTGTCCTTCTCGCATATTAAAATGACATAATGGAATATTAGTATTACACCAAACCATAATTGAAATATTAATTATTACTATGACATTTAATTTATTATTATGCCAATAATTCATTGCTTCAAAATAGATGCAAAACAATTTACAAGTTTAATTTATTTTTTGGAATGGGGAGGGGGTGTGGGATTGATAATTTAGTTTTCCGTCTAATCGGATCTGAAATTTTGATAGGCCTTTTTGATTCGTTCTTCTCCCCCCTCTCCCTCTCGATGATTAAAATGACATAATGAAATATTTTACCAAAGATAATTGAAATATTAATTATTGCTATGTCATTTAATTTATTATGCCAATAATTCATGACTAAAAAATAGATGCAAAAGAATTTACAAGCTTAATTCATTTTTTGGAATGGTAATTTCGTTTTCCGTCTTATCGGATCTGAAATTTGGAAAAACCAAAACCGTGTTCAAATATTATGATGGCGTCAAACGTCGTACACAGTTTATCTGCCATGAATTATTCATTCCGTAGACTTTGATAGGTTATGTAAGGTATTTATTATTAATCACCATTTTCTTGCAAATACACATATGTCCATTAGCGTATTGCAAGGTTCTTTCTAAGCACATTCTCGGAATTTACAATCTGGGTTGGAAAGGTAAAAAAACCGGGCGTCTAGATAGAAATGAAATGAAATGATCAGATGAAGTCATTTCTTTTCTCTTATTATTACGAACTAGTTAGCGCCAGATATCTAGACCATGGAGTGTAACTGAATACGTAGCCAGCTGGCTCGTCTTTGGGGGGATATGTTTCAGAAAGGTAACATGCTTTTCTATTTTATGCTAATCTTACTCTGCCGGGTAAATTTAGATTGCGTAATGTAGGCTAATAGTAATGATAATGTATGTACTATGTAGTACTATAATAATGTAGCCCTAGGCTTATTCCTACGCAGCCCTGTAAGGGACGCAAAATTAAAAAAAAAATATCTAGCGCGCTAGTTATTATCCGGTGCGCACCGGATAACTAAGTAGCGCGCCAGATATTATCCGGTGCGCACCCGATAACTAAGTGGCGCGCGCCATATATTATCCGGTACGCGCCGAATAATAACTAGTTCAGGTTTTCGTCATTACACGCATGTCGCATGGATCAAAACAGACTAACACTCATCCGTAAATACTTTCACTTGGGTGTTAGTTATGAGAAAATAACAACCCTTCTCCTGGTAAATCATCAGATACAACTATCGGTTAGACAGTTAAAGAGGCTTTTGCGGTACGCGCCGGATAATAACTAGTTCAGGTTTTCGTCATTACCCGCATGTCGCATGGATCAAACTAGACTAATACTCATTCGTAAATACTTTCACTTGGGTGTTAGTTATGAGGAAATAACCCTTCTCCTGGTAAATCATCAGATACAACTATCGGTTAGACAGTTAAAGAGGCTTTTGCGAGATGCAGGACTTGGCAGAAGAAAGCACTATTCCTGTTTACTGGAGGTTGTTCAATATATTCAGCAAGAGTTACATCGAAGTGGTCAATGCCATGGATATCGTTGGATGCATTTAAAATGTATCCAAAGTGGTTATACTATTCAAAAAGAATACGTTCGAGCCATACTGAAACTTTTAGATCCGGTAGATGTGGAATGTCGCTTGCGTCGTTGACTTCGAAGACAATATAGCGGAATAGGACCAAACTATACGTGGCACGTTGATTCGTATGATAAGCCTAAACCATTTGGATTGTGCATTAATGGTTGCATAGATGGATTTTCTCGATATATCGTTTGGCTTCGGGTTAACCAAACATCCAGTGACTCCAAAGTTATTGCCGGATAATATATGGATGCTGTTAAACAACGAGGTGGCACCCCCCTTCACTATCCGCAGTGATATGGGTACTGAAAATAGCTATGTTGCTGAAATGCAGTGTTTTTTACGCTGACATGGTAATAATACAATCAGATCTTATATATACGGAACTAGTCAACACAACCAGGGAAAAGAATCATGGTGGGGCATTTTAAGAAAAGAAAATGCCGAATTTTGGATATGACTTTTTAAACAACTCAACATCGATGGTCATTATTGTGGAAGCTTTATTGATAAAAGCTTAGTCCAGTTTTGTTTTATGGAAATAGTACAGGTGAGTCACCCTCATCCAATACACTACACGGTAGTTTTCATCGAAATCCAAGCTCCTAATGTAAAAAAGGAGACCCAATATGGCACTCCGGTACTCTATATCTAGCCTCGGCTGTATGACGGTAAATGCCTACACCCATACGGTTTACGAGTGGAAAAAATTGCCACTTTTAGAAAGAAATTCTCAAAATTGCGTCGTTCGAAGAGTGTGTAGAATTTTCATTGCAAAGTTGTCCTTGTTTAAAGAAAATCGGACAAACATGAAAGAAAAACAGCTTCAGACTTTGAAAGCTTTGTATGATAAAACATTCTTTAAAGGCATCGTCATGGGCGGCACGCCGTTGGTAATCCAGGAACTTGAAAGTAGTTCCAATGGCGGATTTCGTCAAACAGATGGGGCTAAATGTAGGGTACAGGAGTCTGCCAAGTGCCAATATGGAAACCTGTGTTTCATAACTAAGATTGTACACCAGCTAGAAATTGATAAAAAAGGTAACAAGTTTGAACCAGGTAAGGTAAAACATCTATGTATTTCTATGCGTAACGTATTGACAATTGTCGTAAGATCAGACACATGCGCTAACGCAGTGCTTACGGTTTGAGTATCCTTCTGCGGCCAACTGAGGACCAAAATAAAATAAAACCAAGTACGAACAATCCAAACCATAAGACAGAATTCGAAGTCCTAAAAAACGTTATTGGCAAAATAGTGTATTCGAGCTAAATAGTGTAATCAGCAAATGGACTGCTCCTCGTGTACAAAATACACGACAAACAGTGGTAACAGGTGTCCGGAAGAGTAAGCTTACCCTGCCTGGCGCCACACCCGCCATAGCTACATCCAAACTATTAGGCGAAATGTCGGTAAAATGAACTATCGGTATGCAAAATGCACGCGATGAAATGTGTTAACGATGTAGTAGACAATATCAGGGAGATAGTAATAGTATACGTGTCAATTAAATATATCTAGAATAATAGCCTGATTATTAGGCTTTCAGACTTTCGTCTGAAAGCCTATTGAGATTACTAAAATTATTATTATTAGGCTTTCAGACTTTTGTCTGAAAGCCTATTGTGATTACTAAAATTATTATTATTTATTATTAGGGTTTCACACTAATTATTCTTAGTCTGAAAGCCTATTGTGATTACTAAAATTATTTTTTAGGCTTTCAGACTTAGAAAGACTATTGTTTTTACTAAAATTATTATTAGGCCTATTGAGATTACTAAAATTATTAAACTTTCAGACTTTATCGATCTGGAACCAAATTTTCTATCGGGAAACCAGGTGGTGGCTACTCCTTAAAACAATATTGAAGTTTCTGCGCAGACCGGAAGTGGCCGAATTTCGTGCGGTGCATAAAAATTAAAAAACGGCCGTAGCTTCGTCAATTCTGTACCTATTTTCATACAAATGACATTTTCAGAAACCCTGAGTCTTTTCTCGTACGATAGCAGTTGAAAATTTCGAAACTTCGTCGCTGACTTCTAGCGTTCGAAAAATGAAAAATTTTGTTTAAGAAACAATTTTTTTTATTTTTCAAAATTTTCAAATTTGACCTACATTTTTGGATACCTGAAGACCATCCGATACCAGAAATGTAAGTTTCATTCCGAGTTATCGCCCTTTATTTTTCGATTTTTTTTCGAATTTTCTGCCCATTTCCCAACCCTTATATTTTTGGGAAAGGATAAATCGATAGTTCTGAAATTCCTGGAACATAAAGCTATATAGTCAGACCGCTGCATAAAGCAATTTTAAAAACGATCCGGAAACCGGAAGTAGTCGAAATAATGATAGATGGGTGTTTTGGGGAAAAACTTGATTTCTCCGTCCGGTATCAATGGATTAAACGAATTAAGCTTTCGTTGAGTGGCCCGAGGAATGGACTGTCGTATGATGCCCAATTTATACGGATACTATGACCAAGCAGCAAAATATGACAAGCTGAAAATCAAGTATTTTCTGATTTGGAGCGTTTTTGGACGCCTTTATCTCGAAATCTTAACCGCAACTCTTTTTTTTAACTTTGTCTATCGAGAGTCCATTCGATAGTCTTGTGAATTATGCCATCCAATAAGACTTTGAAATGTCTGGAATACGATAAAAATGCTCTATTACTTTATTATTTAAACAAATTTTTACAAAAAGATTACAGATTCAGATAGCTGACCTAATTACGATTCTAACGATGTATAATATGTATTGAGTTATTGAAATTTCATTTTCGATATTTTGACATTTTTTTCATTTTTGGCACCTTTGAACATAGGATTTTTCAGGGTCATTTTATCTGATCCGATAATGTAATATATCATTACAGAGCCCTGTCGCTATTTAATTGTCCAAACTGGTTATTAAAACTATTCCGACAATAATTTCCATACCGGAAGTATTCAAAAAATTAAAAAAAAAAACGGTTAAAAAATTGTCGCTCTTGCGAAAAGCTGGATTTCTCGGTCAGATATTACCGGACCAAAAGAAGTAAAGTGTCTTTGGATAGCCCTATTAATGGACTATTATATGGCATCTCAATGGTACGGTTTCGATGGTTAGAAAATAAATTGTGGTACGCCGAAAATCTAGTATTTTCCGTTTTTTGAGCCTTTTTAGACGTCTTTTT